TTACGAATATTTGAGCAGTTCCTGAATCTGAACTAAACTATTTAAATAACAAAATGGAAAGATTTATGTGAACGAATTAATATATGCAAGCTGTAATTTAAAAAAGAGAGTGCACAGATTCTCTTGAAACTTCTTCTGAACAGCACGTACTTCTTTGAAAGGTATTGGAGCTCTTTGTGAAACTATTTGAATAGACATGAGTCATGAATAATTTCTAAGGTTTATACAGGTATCGTGTCGTATATGACTTGAGGGGATAAGTTTCTGATTCCATAGTTGGCAGCATGAAAACCTTGCACCAGCACTACATTCAATCAAAAGCAATTTCATTTTATAATTCCTTTCGCTTTTCTGCTATAATAACTAATGAACTTCAAATTTAATTTAAAAATTTTCAGTCAGTGATCGTCGTCAAACCGTAGTTGGTTTTGTTGCGGCCGTATCCCCGCTTCCATCGATTACGCGCAGTTTCGTCACTAGTTAAATTAATCCTTGTTCCAACATTTGTTCTCATGCACTGTCGGTCCAAAAAATACATCAGCGTCAGCACTGAGAATGTTCCATCAGGTCTAAGTTTGTTTATTTCCTGGTATATAACAGTAATCAGATTAGCGCTCACTGTAATGGAAGTGATAACGCCTGGTAGACGTCTCAGCTCGTCCACTGACCAACACAGTCGCCGCGCTATATCAGGAAATAGAGAACTGGGTGTGTAGGTAACGAGCATAGTTTGTGGTGCTGTATATATGGCCGATAAATCGTGTTTGCTAAATAATGATGCGGAAATAACAGTAGTCAAGGAATTAGAGATTCCTAGCGTCTTCAAACCTAAGACCTAAGGTCTTCTGAGAAACTAACGAGTCAAACGTCGTTAATCTGGGTATTGTGTCCTTTACTTTGATACCTCAGATGACGAGAGCACAACAAGCTTCTGACCCCACTTTCACAGCCATAAATGAGGATGGAGCGGGTAGCGGTCTAAGAAGCATAGTACCTCGTTTTCAGACTGATCTCCCGTCGTTTTCACAATTTATCGCAGGGCTTTATGAAAGCTTGTTCTCTGCTGATATCCGCAATGAAATTTCATCTTCTTGCTGGTCGTTAGGATGAAGCAGCAAGGTATATGAAGACTGTGAATTCTTCAAGTGGAATGGTACAGAAGAGGTTGGACTTTACTCAGTTTCAAGGATCCCTTTTGCGAAGATTGCTGCTTCTGCTGCGTTGATTATTAGTCCCTGTTGCAGTAATATCACGGATTACCTCAAGGGCATATTTGGATCGGCATAGTTTCATAACATATGACGATGACATAACATAACAATGACGATGACGTCGGCGTAGTCATGATCGGCAAAACGGCGCTGACTGATGGCTAAGATTGTCTTCGACACCAACGTAATCTTTTATTGCTGTTCGCATGATCTAATCGGTGACGTAGTTGATTTGAATATGAGAGAACGCAGAGTCCTGACGTGCGCCAGAAACAATAACAAAACTTGAATACACCGAAGATCGATCCGAATGTTTGTTTGTGCCGCCTTGCGGTAGAGTTTCTTTATTTGGTTTCATAGGCTTATGAGGAATATCACTATTTTCACAATATGCCAAGGAAGTCCTAAAGAACGAATCAAACGCTACCAATAAGTCTATGGCGCACACAACGGTGGGCCTCTAGAAGCGGTAGCAGTGTTCCATCGTTTCCAGGAACTCAGCCTGTTTTAGTCTTGTACCTTCATCAGGAATTGTTTTAAACCTCTGGAGCAGTAGTGTTGAAGATTTTTCCATTATATGGAATGAGTCTGTTCCAGGCTCCAGTTGTCTTCTGCCGAAGCTGAGTTTTGCACTGGGTCGGGAACGTTATGAGCACTGTCTGATGCGTCTGCCTACGCGATCCGATAGGAGAAGCGGCCATGGAAGATGAAGATAGAAATTTTTCCATCCACTTCAGTCGAACTTATTCTACGATAGTTTTGTCGCCATTTGTTGAAGAACGAGAGCAACAACGCTTCACTCCAATTTTATGGCAGCAACTCCTCAGGCGAAATATGGCACAGCTGTTCTTACAAACAGTCGACGATTTCCTGTTGACACTCCTGATGCAACTCTGCTAACGGATCATCTTCACTAATAGAATTGGGTTGCTTCAGAGTCGTGATAACGAACTATATCTCTTTAGCTGAATCAGTTCCGATGTCAGGTGCTAGTGTGCAATTTCTGGGGATGGGTGCTTGAAGGTTTCATAGGTGTGTGTCCACTGATCAGAGCTAGCCGCGAGATTCGTTATCAACTCAATCGTGGTGCTGTACACAGATTTCTCCATCGCGCCAAATTCAAAATTAGTTGATTAAGCTTCCCTGCATTCCCTATGACGCCCTGTTCACCACTGCATTGAAGACTTATTCCCAGTGCGTGTTCTTGACTGCTCTTGCGGATCTCGACGCATGCCACCGAAGAGAGCGTAAGTCAATCCTACCTTCAAAATGAGCGCTACCTCTTATTCAGTACTGCTGACTGAGAGTTCAATGAACCATTGTTTATGGTTCCTAGCATGACCAAATATCACCTTCATCTTCCATCGCGGCTTCTCCTTTCTGGTCGCGCAGACACACACCTCAGACAGAGCTCCAACGTTTCCGATCCTGTTCCAGAGTCTGAGTTTCGGTAGAAGACAACTGGAGCCTGGAACAAACTCCTTCCATATGT